CATGGGATCCAAGTTGTCTCCAGGTGCTCAGCAGCTCATGGACATGGTCCGGTGCCAGCAGAAAGTAAGTCACTTTTCCACAAGCACAAACTGGCACTTGGCCAGTTGGGAATGCTCTAAAAAGATTTTGGGATTTTAAATCTGTACTTGCTGCCATTTCCATCCTGATTTATCTGTTGCCACTCAAATGAGTGCAAAGAGTAAAGGTTGTGTTCTCCAACATGATGATGATGATTATTATTATTTGCCTTGTTGTAATTGTAATCTTCACTGCCACCCTGCTCTCCTTTTTCCTGTTTCCATTGCCACTGCTGACCATGCCAAGGATGGTGGGCATTTTCCCTGGAATATTTGGGTTGTAGATAGATGGGCTGGTTTCTCTCTTTAATGGTCATTATCACCATGTGGCTTTCAACTAAAAGGAACATGCTCTCACAGAACATTTACTTTAGATCCTAGTCCTGCAAAGTGGGTGTATCAACAGAATCCTGAATCCATTTGAGGTTAATAATTCAGTTTTGGGGATACAGCATGGTAAAAATGAAGTCAGTAAAGCTCTTTTCTTGCTTAGACACTGACAAGATAATCAACACTTCATACTCACAAAGAATGTAGTTCAAAACTACTTCTGAATTCTTTACTAGTAGAATGCTGGGTTATAATGTATCTATTGTTATTGCTGTATAATTTCCAGTGTATTTGAAATCTCAAATACTCAAATGGGTTTTTCTCCCCATCAGAACAGTTTCCCATTTGGAGACAAACTCAGTTGGATCCTGGGGAGAAATTCTGACTTTGGAGGTGACCATGCAGTAGATGGAATGCACAGAGCAGCTCTGCAGTCCTCACTGAGTCCATCAGCCAGTGAACCTTTGCCTGTTAAAAATCATTTAACAAGTGAAGCAGTGTATAAAGATGTAAAAATAACTCGTGATCTGAACTCAGAGGTACCTGAAAGAGGGAATACTGTGGATTCTGAAAGACTTCCTACCCAGCAAAATGCAGTTGACCTCAGGAATGATTTGAAAGTCGTGGGATCTCTGCAAGTGCAGCAGCAAGCAGGTGAAACTCCAAACGTGGCCAACCCACAGGTGCTTCTTCCTTTTCTTCAAAACTTGTGCACTCAGGTGAATCACCTTCGGCTCAAGGATGGGGACAGGCACCCTGGGAGGAGTGCAGTGGCTAAAGAGGAGAGTGTTCCGAGTGCTGGGTGAGTGAAGTTTGGTGACTCTCTCAAAGTAGTATTGATTATTTACTGACAGGTTAAAACAGAATGTGTAATGTAAGCATTTTCTTCTCATTAGCAGCAATAGTGAATCTTAGAAAACGTGGTTTTGAAGGCTGTGTGGTGATGAGCATTACAATTTTTCAATTTCACAATTGTTTTGAATGTAGGAGTTTTTCAGAAGAAATCACATCTTTTGTTGTTACTAAACTGTTTTGTGTTCTACCTCCGTTTAATCTAATTTAAAAAGCATGTTTCTTCATTCACATTTAACTTGCCTTTCTCATGTACTATATTTCCATTTTGATTACTTTTACCCCTAAATTCTCACATCTTCCCTTTTTCACACAGTGTGGCACAGTCTTTCTGCTGTACTTGGTCTGCATCATCCCACTGATTTTTCCTGTTCCTCCTCACTTTTTACAGTGCAGGTGTCAGAGTTACCCAGTTTGGTACCTCAGGAGCAATGCTGGAACTCGTGAGACCTGGGAATCAGGATTTAATGGAGACTGAATGTCTCAGCTCCAGTGTTCTTAAAGAATGCAGATGCAAACCCAGGGAGTTGCATAGTTTGGATAACTCTTGAAGCACTTTTGCTGACAAGGACAGTCTGCCATGCTGACAGAATACAAACTCTGTGTATGTTGTTGATTTGTGTGGATTTTGTTTTCTATAATTAAGCTCTCTAGTGCATATTTGAGCCTTTGAAAAAACAAGATTGTAAGAAGATGACTACATACAGTAGCGTGTTTATGAAAAAAGAAAAGTTTTAAAGTGTGGCAGGCAGGGTATTTTGCTTGTGCTAGAAACCTAATGCCTTCCAAAGTTCATTGCCTGATAAATGAAATTTTACATTTAAAAGATGCTCAGGTGCCCAGATCTCTCTATTGCCCCTTGCCATTAAGAAATAAGTTATACTTATTCTTATTTTTGCTCTTCTTACAGAGTGGAACAACAGCCTATTTGCTCCTATTTGGAAAAGATCATTTCAAAAAACCTGGATCTGATGGAGAAGAAGCTAATGGACTATATTGACTGCCAAATCCAGGCTCTTCAGACACACATAGACAATAAAATGTTTCTCTTGATGGACTTGGTTCAGAACTCAAAACCAAACAAAATTTCCCAAGCACACTATGATTCTAACGAGGGGTTTTCTAATGGAGAGAGGTAGAGGGATTCAGGTGTAGGGTTTCAGTGTGAATACTTGGATAATTAGACTTTACAAAGCCTAGTATTTATGCAGTTCAAACTATGAAGAACCTCAGTGTTGTTAACTTGCATTTTGTTACTGTAATTCTATCCACTGTTGTACACACTTGTTAGTTTTATGAAAGATCTTAAGAATGTGTTTTTTCCTAAATATAAGAGTTTTGTATGCCCTTTATGGCTTATTTATTTAAAGAGCATTGCTAGAAGCTGTATGAACAGTCCCCCAGTTCCAGTTTGGACAATGGAGCACTCTCAATAAACTGAGTTACTGCTTATCTTTTTACCTACATGTAATCAGCTCACTTCTTTGGGTTGTGTTAATTTTTGATGTGAAATGTGTTGTCAGTAGAACAGAATGCAGTTTGTTCTTTTGCTTTATTGGCACTCCTGTTGAAGACATTTCTTGTTCCATCTCTAAAAGGAAGGTTGGATTGTCATTGCCTGGTTTGGGCAGTTTATGGAGCTGTGTTTGTAAAGAGAGCTGGGGGAATGTGAACCCAGCCTGGGTTCTTTGGGAGCCTTGTTGGCTGTACAGGCACCTGAATTAGGAGTCCAGGCTCCTTTAGAGATACCTAAACCAAGACTGTGATGCTTCTTTCCCTCCTAAACTAGCTGAGTGCAGGAGCAAGTGCAATGAATGCAAACTCAGCAGACTTTATCCAGGATTCATTATCCTAATTGCAAGTTCTTCATCCATGGCTCCTCTCAAGTGGATGTTGCTCCCAGACAGGGTGTGCTGGGGTAGCTCCAGAACACCAGAGGAGTTTCCTTAGTGCATCACACTTCCTTTAACCCCTTGGGATCAGTTTTGCTGTCACTTGGGGAGGTAGGAATGTGACTCCAAATCCCTCTTCTGTGGCAGGTTGAGTTTCAAACTTCATTCTGTTTGTTGCTCTTGGATTCTGGGGTGTAAATTGGAGGGTGTAGGGACTTCATGGTAAACCCCTCAGTTGGGTGCGCAAACATTTCTGGCAAAAGCTGTTGATGGGGAAGCAAGTGTTGGCTCAAAAGCAGCATAAGCATGTCCAAGCCATTATCATTATTTACTCTGCCTGATATCTCCTTCTCCAGGAAAACTGATGTATTTTGAAGACTGTCAGATCCTGGTGGTAGCAAACACACAGAAGCAGATTTGGAAGAGAGGATAATCTGCTCTGAAAAGGCATCTTGCAGTTCTCCCTGATCATAACTCCTGCCAGGTGCAGTTTCAAAGTGATTCAAAAAGAATTTTTTTTTTTTTTTTAGATAAAAGGATCTTAATTATCTTGTACTTCATGCCTGTAAAGGTACAGTCCGTCCTGAGGTACACACAATTTTTCAACTCAGTGACTTGAGATAAAGTACTAAATTGAGACGGTTTTGGATTTTTTTATTTGATAACCAAAGAAATTGGAATGAGTTTTTGAGTATTGTTGAGTTCAAATGCTGTTAATTTAATGATTTTTAATTTTTTTTCCCTCTCTGGATATCAAATATGAACAGCAGTTGACACTAAATAGAAATCTCCAGAAGTAGTTAAAATGACCTCTGGCCATTTTGATTGCTGTTTCCTACCTGGTGCTTGTGATGCTTCAGTATCACAGCTACCACAATGAGAATGTTTGAAATTAAAACCACAAATGCCAGAGTGTAGAAGTTGTATTGTTGCAGGTTTGGTGTTTTGTCAGCTTCCACTTCAGTGAGGGATTCTGTATAGAGAGAAAAATAAAAGTGCTTAAAGTTTAGAATACTGCATGATTTAATTGGGAATTAAATAAGCATTTTTTTCAGATATTTTCATTTGACATGACCCATACAGCGTGCAAATCCTGATTATGTAGTACTGAAGAGTTGTAAAAATTGCTAATAAAACAATCCTACAGAACATCATGATGTTCAGTTCTTTGGTATTGCTGCAGCCAAGTTTCTGCCAAGCAGTGCTGTCACCATGAGAGAGATTTGAGACATTTGCTGAAGCAAAGTTAGGCAAAAAAAAAAAAGGCAATTTGTGGTTTCAGTGGTTTCCTATCTGCTTCTCAGTAAAACTTACTCTGCTTTATAATATTTGTAATTGAATATTTGCCCTTGAGTTACAGATGTGTTCACTTCCACACATATGGATGCAAAATCTTTCACTATTGAAGTAAATGGGAATGTATCTAAAATGTTGCTGGAGTTTAGAAAGGATAATAATTAAAAAAAAAATAAAAGGAAAAATATTCAAATTACTATTTAAGAGCAAGATTAATTCTAAGTATTTCCTAGGTCTGATACCTGAAAGCAAGTGGCCCAGTGTGCTTTTGGCTCAGGTGGAGCTTTGGGCTCCACAAAACTGAGAACAATGGGCACAGTTTGAGTAGCAATACAAGCTTTTAAAAACAGCTTTTCCATATTTTGTAGTTTCTCTTTGCTCTCAGTACCTGACCACTGCAGATCAGACTGCAAATGGCACCAAAGCTTAGTTGTCTTACAGACACCTCTGCAGCTCTAATTTAAAGGCATGGTGCTTTTGGTTTCTGCTCTCAGGACTGTCCTTTTTACTCCTGTGCCTGCAGTGGGAGGATTTAACCTGGCCTACAGTCAGTCAGCTGTGTTTATTATCTGGAGCACCAACAACAAAACTGAGTGAAGCACACACACACATATATTTATATTTTTTATTTTTCCCCTCTTACCTGGGTGCTCAGCAGCCCTGGGATCTCTTTTCAGGCGGATGGGACCCACCACAGTGTTAGTTTTCCATGTGTAGGGAGAGGTGGCTCTTTTCTGCCTGGAGATGCAGCCTCTGGCACAGCGAGAGTTGGTGGTGTTGCTGTCACAGATCACAACGTCACACTGCAGATAAACTGATGGGAAGCTCCTCAGGAACCTGAAGGCCCTAAATTTGAATCTTCCATGGTTTTCAAACGCTGGGTAGGTTACCACAGTGTCATCTTTATTGCAGCTGCAAAAAGATGTGCAGATCTGTTAAAAGAGTCCACTTGGAATAATCATTCTGGCTAAGTCCTGTGAGCTGTAACTACAGCATTTAACCAGGGCACTGTTCCTACACGTGGGCATGCAATGATGTGCTTTTTTTGCCTTCGCCCAGCATGATGTGGTGGATGCTCTGTGGCACATCTTTAAATTTATCTGCAACTCGCTTCTAATCACAGTCTACTAAAGAAGGTAGGTGGAAGAGACAAAAATTCAAAACAAAACAAATAGAAGTGCAGTTGCCATTTAGATCCCATTTCCTCACACATGAGGAGACTGTAATAAAATCAGCCTTACCCACTCCTGATTAAGTCGTATGTCAGTGATCCTAAACCAGGCTGGGGAGATGCAGTGCAGGTATCAATGAACACCTGGAGGTTTGGGTCCGTGGAATGAAGAGTCACTTCAGCAAAGAGAGTTTGGTTCAAGTCTACGTAGTATGGGGAGTATTGGACAGGCTTGGAGAACAAATCCGACTCGTAGAAGGCCATGCTGACGTTGTACCTGCCCTGAGCAGCCAGGTTTTGGATGGCGTTGTTTGTCGTGGTGTAGATGAGCTGCACGGTCTCGTTGTTGCTCATGGTGCACTGGGCAGTGATCTCGGTGCTCCTGCGGCGGGTGATGGCGCTGCCAGCTGCAGCCAGGGAGATGGTGTTGGTGTAAGTGATGCTGTGCCCTTCATCCTGGGAAAGGAACCGTGCCAAGGGCTCAGCTGGGGCTGCACCAGCAGAGCAGTTGAGAGGAATTGCAGCTAAACTGACAAACCTGCCCAGCTCTGCTTATCAGAGGTGTGCAACTGTGAAACAATCTGCACACAAAAAATCTTATTAACCCTCTTCTTGTTTTTTTTTCCTAAACACTGAACCAATCCAGGCAGCAACAAGGTTAAGGAATAGTGCATGGAGCATGGGAAGTACCAAAGCTATGCTCCAGTACCCTTATCAAAACAGTGCTATGAACTAGCTCTTGGCAATCTTTTGGGGGTTAATTTGTGTGGATTCTCCCACATTTCTTTTGAAAAGTTCATTATCATCAGATTCTTAAAGAGGAAAAAATGTTCTTTGTATTTCAAGACAGAAAATATGTAATGGGATGAGCTAAGTGAAAATAAAATCAATGTACTCACATGCTATTCATACACTGCTTTTACCAGCTCTTATCTTTCCTAAGGTCTTGTTAGCTTACTCATATTTTTATCCCCTTTACCTTTTTAATTGTTCCACAGCTGGCCAATGGGAAGGAGAAAATCACTGAATCTGTTACAACTGGTCTGCAAGATGGATCATTCAGCTGCAGGTGAGCTTCCCTAAAGCCAAGGGAGGCCAGGTAAGACTTGCTCAGAACAATTGTCATGCTGTCTGAGGAGCATGTAAGGGTTGCTGCCATTGAAAAAGAATCAAACAAAACCAAGAACACATCAGGACAAACTGCAGGGGTCATTTCTCACTTTGTCTAAATCCTTGAACTTGTCACATGATTCTGGATTTCTCAGTGAAAAAGCTCATGTCCACTTAAAGTCATGCAGAATTTGCACTAAAGTTTCATGCTTATCTTCAGAATTAGAGCAAAACCCCATAAAACTCATGCTGTAAGTTTAATTTAAAACCCAGTAACACAGAAGGGTCTCTGCATTTTTAAAGGGGAAAAGGAATCAAAGTGCTGGTGCAGAATGGTGATTTATGCAGAAATGCAGAAATTGATTTATCTCAGGCACTGAGGCTTTAGAAACTCCTTTGCACCTCAATTAATGAATTAGAATTTAGAAACTCCTTTGCACATTGAATTAATGGGAAGATGGGCATGCAAGGATATAGGACCAATAAGGAAAATAAGGCCCAGCTCAGGGGGAAGGGAAATTACAATATATCTAAACTCTGACTGACCAGTGCAGACCAGGAAAATTCCTGAGCACCTTAGGCAACAAAACCATTTCAACTAACCAGACAATAGGAGTTTATCTTTGCATCTTAGCATAGTAACAATGTTTTGTACAGAAGAAGGAAAACCTCAGATTTTAAGTGGTGCCAGCCAGAAAGAAAGTACCCAAAAGTGAAAGAACTGTTTTTCTTTTGCAGATGGGTCAGGAAGTAACTTATGCTCTACAGGTGAGATAATGTGGGATTTTCGTGTGTAAAGGGGGTTAAAAGACTACCAATAAAAAGGCTTAACTCCTCAGTATCAACCATCAGTCCTTTTGGATGTTTGTAAAAGAAGGATCACATCATAAAAACAATCAGCATCCTCTCCATGCAGCAGGGGCACTCACTGTTGGGCTCCGTGGGGCCTGGCAGGGGAGCAGTGGAATACTGAGCTGAAAATCCTCTGTAGGAGTTGGTGTCATCTGTGGACAGCACAACTGTCATCGTGTTGGAGGCAGACTCAAATGTGGGCTGGGCACGCCCACACACTTTCCCCAGGAGCCCAGAGTCAGTGGTGGGGCCATCATAGACTGCTGTGAAGTCAAGCTGGCAGTTTCTGTCCAATTCCAGGCTGCAGACAGAGGAAAAACCATCACAGGGAAATCTGAGTGCAGCCTTGGCTGTACTGGATGGAGGATTCAGTGCAGATAAAGTGTCTGAGAGTTCCACTCAACTGAAGTGATAGAATGGGGAACAGAACACCACAAACAGGCATTGTCGAAACCAAATAAAACATATAAAACTATTATGTTTCTCAAAATCATTTTAAAGCTTCTGAAACCTCTTGTGTGTATCATAGGGGAAGATTCTTGCAATTTTTCACCAGTGGAGGGTGAATTCTCCTAGAACAGCATTAGAGATGGACCCTGGCCAGGAAAGCTCAGAGCATATTCCACCCTGTGCAGAGATAATCATCTCAGAGGGCAGTGGTCAAGGTAAAGATTTCCTGTGGAATCCTGTACGTTTCACACTGAATTCTTGCAGGGCATTCTGCAGTCTGAATGTCTCAAGAAATGGACCTGCACCTCGTGGTTGGTCACCTGAGATGTCTTCTGCATTTCCCTGACTGGCACTGCAGCTGCTTTAGGGTAATGTACAGGGATGTGAAACACTTTGCAATCATTTTATCATAATAGTCAACAAATCCCTCTATTATAAAAGTATACAGATGCTCTAAAAGTTAAAAAGGACTTCTTCCTGTGTTTAACAAAGTAATGCCTTTAAACAGAATGTATAAAGAGAAACAGCATTTATAAATATAAAAATAAATAGGGATGTATATAAAAATATATATTATATATATATAAAATAAATAGGGATGTATATATATATATATATATATATACATAATATATTATATATATAAAAATAAATAGGGATGTATATATATATAAATATATATCTAAATGAATATAAATAGGGAATTTACTCACAAAAAATCTTGAAACTCCAAGTTTATCTTTGAGTTTTTTGGTGCTTGTATGTGCCAGACACAGTATCTGAACTGAGGGTAAGGTGCTGGGTAGTTGGGGCTGCTGAATGTCCCATTGGGACCAGTTAATTGTCCCCCACAGTTTTCGGTTTCTGAAAAGGAGAGGAGAAATATTGGTAACAGAATAAGTCATATAATGAGTCATATAAAAACCCCAAACCTTATGTAACTATCCGGATTGATTCTTTAGGACTCCAGTCCTTTGGAAATGATTAAAGGTACTAAAGATGGAAATTCCATAGGGAATTTGAGGTCAGGTGGAATTACAAAATGCACAAAGCCAGTGGTCACTGTTTCTGTGAGGCCCAGTGTGATGACCTCTGAGCTGGCTGTAGATGAGTTAACTTTGGCTCTGGGAGCAGCTTAGTGAGAGCCACATTTATCCACATTTTGGATAAATTTGGTGCTCTCTTGAAAAACTGCTAATGAAGATGTTACTCCAACCATGCATGATCTGTTTGGAAGTGCAAAATCTGCAAGTATGAGAGAAATTTCACTCGCTAGACAAAGGCGAAAAAAAAAAAAAATCAAACCAGTGGAACCTCAGACAAACGTAGACTAGAAACAGGGCAGAATTTTTCAGCAGCAAAATTAAATTGGAGCAGCATGAACTGGGATTTGGTAACTACTCTGTAAGAGTAAATTAAGTTTTTAAGAGCTTAATACCATGCCACCAGGTTAGCAGAAGTAAAGGGTCTGGTCACAAGCTAAGATTGATTTTGTCCAAGCTATTCTTATCTTTCAAAATAAAAAGAGTAAGGAGCTTATTGAATTAAAATCCTTACTGACTTCTGTAATCTGTACTTGGCAGGAGTTCTGACTAGATAGTCAAATTCTTCTGGGTAAATGCTGTAATATCTGCAAGCTGAGTACATTTCATAGAAGTCTGGAAGTAAAAGTAAAGTCCCATAATGTCAACTTTGTCACATTTCTAAGTTAAATTTAACTTTTTAGGATCTCTGCAAACGCATCGCTTGTGCCTCTTTTCCTGATTTTTGCCCTATTCCATTCTCTGAGGCCTGAAGACCTGAGTGAGACTGATTAAAGTTCCTTTTATTATGTTCCATTGCGGCAGTTTAAATGTTATTTAATGTCTTACTTGATCCTGGTGAAAAGAAGTAGTAGTAGACGAAGAAGTTTCGTGCGAAAGCCACAGAGTTGGTTGTTATGAGAAAAGTTAAACTGTCTGAGGATGATTCAAGCACTGGGACTGCATCTGTGTCATCACACACTTGTCCAAGGAGAGCTGAAGCAGTGGAGGGACCATCAAACACTTTAATGCTTTCTGTTTCACAGCTTGAAGAAGGAGCAAATCTATTGGGAAAAGCACAGTGAGAACCACCTGAGCTCCTTGGCAGGCACACAGGGTGAACGTGCACAGGGGTTGGGGCAGTCCCTCACATACAGGCTGGGTGGAGAATGGGCTGGGAACACCCTGAGGAGATGGATTTGGGGCTGTTGGTGAATGAGAAACTCAACACGGCCCAAAAGTGCAACACTGAAAATGAATGGGAGGTTGAGGGAGGAGATCCTTCCCCTCTGCTCCCATAGGACCCCTCCTGGAATGCTGCATCCAACACAAGAAGGATGTGCTGGAGTGAGTCCAGAGGAGGCCATGGAGATGCTCCCAGGGCTGAGCCCCTCTGCTCTGGGACAGGCTGGGAGAGCTGGGGGGGCTCACTGGAGAGGAGAAGCTCCAGGGAGAGCTCAGAGCCCTGCCAGGGCCTGAAGGGGCTCCTGGAGAGGGACTGGGGACAAGGGATGGAGGGACAGGACACAGGGAATGGCTTCCACTGCCAGAGGGCAGGGATAGATGGGATTTGGGAAGGAATTCTTCTCTGTGAGGATGGTAGGGCCCTGGCACAGGGTGCCCAGAGCAGCTGTGGCTGCCCCTGGATCCCTGGCAGTGCCCAAGGCCAGGTGGGACACTGGGGCTGAGACAGTGGAAGGTGTCCCTGCCATGGCTGGGGTGGCACTGGATGGGATTTAACTCACATCCAACCCAAACCATTCTGGGATTCACTGGAGGGCACAGAACAGATTTGACAGAGAGAAATATTTAGAGGCAATCCATTTCTGTGCTATATTCTAGTGAAATGAAACAGTACAAAAGCATCTGTAGGAAATACTTACTTAAAATAGGAGAAAATGAGCCTAATTGTTTGATTTGCATTCCTCTGGATTTGCCAGGTGCAGCTTGCATTTGCATTTAGTTCAATCCTTAATGCTTTGTTGGGCTCGTGAAGTGAAGCCCCACAGTGAGGCACCCCTGTTAAACAACAACAACCACAAAAGCAGCTTGCAAGGATATCTCTCAAGTTTTCTCTTGTAGTTAATATTTAATCCTCCATTATGCAAAGACTGGAAGAGTCCATCATCAAACAGATATGAAAAAATGTGCTTATTTAAATAAATGTATTTTATTTTACTTCATCTTATGAAATCTGTTTAATCAGATGGTAAAAGAATATTAAAAAGCCATGGTTTATCCTGATTTTTCTAGTAGCAGAGAAAAGGATCAAGCCAGTAGCACAACTGGAAATGCCAAGTGCTGCAGGACACCTCAGCATCTCTCTTCAGCAAGGTTTGTCACCACAAGCAATTCAAGCCTTGGGATTTGTAAGTACTCTTATGAAAAAAAACCACAACTCACCTATGTCTGGGCTCACTGACACTACTTAATAGGTTAGGAAGTAGTTGAAGTAATGGCCATTGGATAGGAAACTTTGGAGAAAGTTTATATCCACTCTGAGCATAAGATCTCCTTTCTACTTTAATATTAACATAAAAATAATGGTCTAAAGCAGTCAGAAGAATTTTCTGTAGAGTGCATGCAGCCCCAGAAAACAAGGTCAGGCTTTCTGATGGACTCCAGAGGGAATAGAAAGGTTTAGGAGAGACTTTTACCATCAGAACTGAAACCTCCTCTCTGTGAGAGCATTACAGGTCAGTCCTACCCTCCTGCACCCTCTGGGTCTGGGGTCAGACACCCCTGGAGCAGCTCTGCTGCAGTATTTCAGTATCCTGCAATAGCTACCCTCCTTTAACCAGCCACGTTGCTGATCTGAGCACAGAATGGGGATCCCAGACTGAGCAACAAACAGCTCCTTATTGCTTCTGATTGAACAGAGGAAAAATGGACAGATCTCTGTCAAAAGCAAGCATTTCCCAATTAGTCCCCTGATTTCTGTTATTCCAATACAGTATTAATTTGTAAAAGCAAATTTACATTCCAGAGTAAAACTGCTTCAAAATCAGGTTCTTAAATTAAAATAACTGCCATAGGGTGGAATATATAGAGTATTTTTTATTATTTACCATTTTTAATGCTTGCAGTCACGTTTAGGTGTCACTATCCTCCCATCAGCACATTAAAATAAGATTCACTTTTAGAGATGTTTAACATTTTGCCCTTCAGTTGCCTAGATGAGACCTGTTGTGCAGAAATCAATAAAATCTCACAGATAAACAGATTTCCATACCTGTGAATTCTACTGAGTTGCCTTCAGAGAGAGCCAGAGCAGTGAAGAGAGGCAGGAGGAGGAACTGCCTGAGCAGCTGCATTTTGAGGGCAGGTGGGGAGGGCAGGCTTTGGCTTTCCTGACTTTTATACCTCCTGCTATTTCACAACCATCCTGTGGTACCGAGAGGGAGGGTTTAATCTGCCAGCCACTGTTTCTTTTTAACAGATATAAATGAGAAAGTAACAGGTGGGCCTATTTTTTAAACAGGCAACATGTGGAGTAAGTTTAAAGTGCTTTTGTCAGCTCTCAAAGCTGGTTCAAAGCACATTTTCCAGCAGATTTCATTGAGAGGCTGTTTGAGGGTGTTGGCATGAGTAGGAATGTTGTGGAGGGGATTGACAGACTCCCTTGGGAGACACATTTGCAGTTTTCTCTCAGCGCTGCTCAGCAGGAGTTTGGTTTCTCCCACCTTCATTTTGACATCTCTCCCTTTAGGTTTCACTGGGCAGATCATTCCCTGTCCTTGCTGAAGACTGCAAAGTGCAGCTGCTGTAAAAGAGTTGTTATGAATATATTGCTGAAACACCCAGGGATGAGCAAGGCCAGATTGTCACAGATTAAAAGAAGAAGATTGCACTGCAACCACTTGGCAGACAGGACTTTCTTAACCTCACACTAGGAGCTACGGAGGAAAAAGGGAATCAGCCTTTCCTTCCTGAGGTGAGGAAACAAGCACAGCCCTGAAAGCCTGAATTCCTTTCAGCACAACTTGAACAAATACCTGTTCCAACATATTCACCCTATTTTGTCCCCTAAGGACCAAAGCTCTGAACTGCAGGGTATTTCTCAGTGCAGCAGGGAGTTCCCAGTCCTTAAAGCTCCCGAGCTGAGCCCGTGCCAGTGGCCCAGGTGTGCTGGTACCTGGCCTTGGGTCAGGCTGGTACCTGGGGCTGGAGCAGCCAGGGCTCCCTCAGGAGCTGCTGAGGGCAGCACAAACCCCACAGCTGTGCAAACAGGGCTTCTTCCAACTTCACTAGAAAATAAAGGCAAGACCTTCTTGAAACCTGAGCCAGGTGCTTTTCTTCCATTGTAATTTTTTTTTTTTTTTACAAAACCATTTTATTTTATAAGCAAACTGATATATAATGCATTTGTAATGACACTGTATTTCTAATCCCAGACTTATGCCTTCTTTAAAACAACTCTCTCTGATTTTTAACTCACTTAAAGGATTTTGAATGCAACTGTCCCTTCATCCTGAAATGTACTTATACTGCCTTTGAGTGTGGAGGCACTAAATAGATGTTTAAAGATGTTGCACAGCATTTGAATTCCCTTTGGCTTCTGGAAATGCTAAATTTGCATTTACTCTGTGTAGCCTTTTATTTCTCAAACCCACACACGTACTTGCAAGGAATTTTCGAATGCTAACATCCCTTTTGTGCCTGGATGTGAATCTGCAGTGAATGTGTGAGCTGGCGTGTGGATCCCTGCCAATGAGTGCTGTGTCCTTCAGAACCCAATCCCTTTAAATCATTACCTGTGAGAAGCAAAGCACAGGGTTAGGGGTGTGGTGGAGTTTTGTATGGACTGAGCTCGATTAGAACTGAAGGAACATTGAGAAGAAAACAAAATCTTGAGAAAAAACAGGCAGTTGATCCAATTATTTTTTTGTCACTGAGAGTATTTACTGAAGTTTAGGCTTTTACAGATCTGCTGTATAGAGCAGAAAGATCTGAAATCAAGCAACCCAAGTTAATTTAAGATTAAATACCTTTAGATTTACACCCAGTGGTATATTTTTAGAAATAAGCAGCAGATCTTGGAACACAATGAACAGGTCTAGAGGGGCTCAACACAATGTCATGGTCAGAAGCTTCATTACTGGGGAGCGATGATGACAACGACGCCGTCATTTGTGCTTCTCCTGGCTCTTCTGTACACTGGGAAGGGTCTGGGATAGGGGAGCCTGTTCCCTGGGAAGGGTCTGGGATAGGGGAACCTGTTCCCTGGGAAGGGTCTGTGAGGAGGAAACCTGTTCCCTGGGAAGGGTCTGTGAGGAGGAAACCTGTTCCCTGGGAAGGGTCTGTGAGGAGGAGGAGGAGGAGGAGGAGGAGGGCGTAAGATGCACCCTGACACTTTGCACCGTAGGCAAACTCTGGCGTTTACAGGAGCTTTGTAACGGAGCTGGATGAGCCTCTGGCCTGATGAAGGGTGATTCCCACAGGTTGGGTCATATACACACCTGAGAAAGAAAAAAAAACCAACCCCACATATTAATTGTCATGTCACGATTGTGGCATGCTCACTAAGCCCGTTTGCTTCCTTGGTTGCAAGAAACTTTCTTCCAAAAATGTCCAGCTGTGATGTTAAATCACAACTCACAGCAGTGAACCCCTGTTCATTCCATGCCACTGCATGGAATTTGGATGTCTGCTGGTGTAATGTGCATCACAACACAAATAAATGTCACACGTGTAAAGCACCTCATGGAATTTTGTCAGTATATGTTAAATCACATTATAAGTGTACAGTGATGAGGTAGAATTTTACTGCACACTCTGCTATGGTTCATGCTTAATTAAAACAAACTAAAGGACAGCCCAGCCCTGTAAAGAAGGATTTTGATTTTTGGAAGCTTAGAGCTGTCCATGAAGGATTCTCCCTGGGCAGCCAAGACAACACCAGCATCCCAGCCCCTCTGACGTGTCTTTGAAACCCTGCCAGCATCATCTGGTGCCATAAATCAGTGACTCCAGCAAGAATGGCTCCAGGGACATCTGCATCAACAGACGTGCACCAAGAATGCCTGTCTGTTTCCAAGAAATAATAGTGTTTTACAAAATTTTAATGTGATTAGTAATTGGTAGTATGTGTATGACTGAGTAGCAAATCAAGTTGTACCTGAACATTTGAAGGGTGTAAGAAAATGGTGTGAAATCATGTTTGGGGTATCCCAGCTTGGCTGGGGCATCTCACATGCATGAATAAACATTTACCCTTCCACTGTCACTTCTGGCATCCCAGGTCTCGTTGGCTGGCACAGGCTCTTCAGGTATTTCAGCAACAGCAGCTTCACATAGTTAGGCACAGGAATGAGCCCTGCTGCAGGGGAGGAATTGGATGTTGAGAAACCAGAGGTAAACACAGAGCAAAACGCAGCAGGTATTAAATACTGGCCTGCTTTGCAAATTTAAACATGGGCCTGGAATAGCACTGAGTGGGGCGGAAACGAATTTCTCTCTCTTTGATGATGTCCTATTCTCATTTCTCCCTCCTACAACTAACACCTAACCCCGAGGTAACTCCTTGGTGTTGTTCTCTCCTGGAAGAGGGGGAATTTGCCAGGATCAGGAGGTGTCCCTGCCTGTGAGCCCTCCAGAGCACAGGGCACTGGGTGGGCAGCAGCTGGCAGGCTATGGGAGGACATTTCAAGTGGTTTTTGACCATAAATGATGCAGACCTGGGCCAGCTCATGCCCTTGGCACTCACCACTGAGGATGGCTCTGCTGCCAGCCCTGCATAAGCAGTGTGTGATCCCTGGCTGAGCTGTGGCATTCCCAATCTCTCTGCCTGCATCCAGCCTCTCCCACTCCCCCTGCACTCGGATCCCCTCTGCCACTGGACTGCCAGCCCTTCCCAGCTCACATCTCTTACCCAGGGTGCCCTTAGGAAAAGAAGTCATTAAAAGGAAGAAAGAATCAGATATCTTACCTGAGGCTGTAGTTGCTGCGTTTGTCTTTGGAATGGCTTTTAATGAAAATAGAAAAGGTTAAAAAGTGAGCTGATTGAGGAAGACATGTGCTTTATGCCATCAGTTAATAAACATTGTAATGAGCAGAGCACGTTAGGACTAGGAAATATTATTAGCAACAGTTCTGAGGAATAGAATTGACAAAGGTTTCATATCAAGGAAAGTGTGGGGGCTCAAGTACTAAAAGTGACATATTACTGGCATTAATGGGATTTAATTCTGTTTATCCCTCTGTGTGAGGCAATAACCCCATGTTCAAATGTCTGCTTTGCACCTGAAGTTCAGTTTCTTGTGTGTTTTACCAAAGCAGCCAAGTACATTTTATCAAAGTAGCTGCTATGGCCAGACTCTAAAAGACACCCTGGGCCTGCTCTGTGGGCAGCTGAGGCAGAATGTTATCAACTAGTGAGCGGAATTTGCAATTCAGTTTTTTCAAAAGACAAAGCCCACTGTGGAAAACTCAGGTACAAAGCAAATGAATATGAATATGTCAAAAGGGTTCCCACTGACTCAGCTTCCAGTGGGGATGCAGTTTGGAAGTGCAGTGGGGCTGGCTTTGTAGGGGTGAGGTGATCTAGAGGAAATCTGAATTTATATTGATGTGGTGTGTCTGCCCCAGTGAATTCCAGTTCCTTAGAGCTTGCAGCAGAGCAGGTATTCCTCCCACATCAATACCAAAAATTCAGGTCCCACGATTTGTGGGAAGCCAAAAAAATTATCCCTAAATTTCAATATTAATTCCATGAGATGATGCATGGAGACAGGGAGCCTTGCCAGCACATCATCAGACCCCAGCTTTGGTAGGGAATTAAGGGCATAAACCAGGATAAATCTGCTTCATTTACTTGTGGCAATGGCTGTTGTTTCAGGAGGTGGAGGGACTGATGCATCAGGTGAACTTGGCTCTGTGAGAAGAGAAAAGATGAAGTTAAACATTGTCTGTGCTCTGATACATGGATGACTCTCATGAAATACAGCACCGTGCTCACCACAGCTGCAGAAATGAACAGAAAGAAATACCTGGGGTTTCAGCCGTTGTGGGCTCAGTTGTGACTGTCAAAGAGAAAACAAAACCACACTTCAGTGCCTGTTCCATTATTGTGTGGGCAAAGCCAGGGCTGTCAAGGGGGAGTGGAGCAGGATTTTACTCAAGCTCATGCTTGAGCCTGAAATTCTGACCAATATACTGAAGTCATACACACCTGCTGCTCCAGGTGTTGTGTCTTCTGCAGGGGCTGGTCAGAGACATGAAAGGAAACAAAACTGCAGGTTAAAAGCTGCTTTCCCAGAGCTGGGCAGGTGAGAGATACCCAAACCTCAGGAGACTCAAGCTCTCACTTGAGGGC